CTTCAGGTTTACACAGATGTTCTTGAATATGTGACAAATTTAATCAAGGAATTGACACAAGTCTTTTTTGAATTGTTCAATATAATTATTAATCTCATTCCAATCACTTGTATGTTGCAGATTATTCCATAATTGTTCCACACGAATACGATAGTTAGTTAAACATTCACAAAAGACTTGTGTCAATTCCTTGATTAAATTTGTCACATATTCAAGAACATCTGTGTAAACCTGAAGTTTTGATTGATAATCAATGTCATTTTCATTTGGTCGGGCTTTTTTCACTTCTTCACGAATTCCATTGATAGCTTCGATCACATTTTGGTTTAATTCATAACCTAATTCATCAATAATCCTATCAATATCATCTTCAGGTTTAATCAATTCACCAAGACCAAAATATCGACGGTTCGGCGTACGTAGTTTAAGTATTAATGTTTTAAATTTCTCTCGAACAATGGTTATTGTACCCTTAAAAAACAAATTTATTGAATAGATTAAAAACAAAAACGATGTCATACTCACGTTAACAAGATTATTTTCGATATCACGATTGAGATTCGTAGCTGTGGTCTAAAGATCATTTTCTTTGAGAATATAATCATCAAAACATTTACCTGAAATTGAGCGCATTGTGTACTATCTATCGTCCTGTTGTTTCTACCACCGTGTACTTGTGGCTAGATATATGATTAGAAAGCATTACTTTTAGTTTTTCGTATAAATTAATTATTCAATTTACCATGGATGATGCATTTTCCATGTCATCAACATCAATCAGATTGCCAGAAAAAGCCATAATAGATAAATCGATAGGTTCTAATCTAGAATTTTATAAGTTTATTTAATCAAAATTTGCAGCTATTTTTATAAATTTTATAAATATATAACAAAAAATTTATGATTTATAAAGAGATTTAATTGAATCAAATGCTGCAGTCAATTGGTCCCACGCCCATTTCACACCCGCTTTGATACATTCGACCACCGTAGATACAATATTACGAATACGTTCAAAAACAGTATCAAAGAAACTTTTGCTCTGTTCAATGCCAGTTGCCACAGCTGTTATATAAGCTGTATACATCTTTTCATCTTCATCATAAGTTTGACTTGATGGATCAGGTCTCGCTCGTCTAGCAGAAGCTCTAATTTCTTCGATTTTTGTTTTAAATGTGTTAATACAATCATCACATGCATCATCCAGCATGTTTTCAGCGTCATCAGCACTTAAAGGTTCAGCCTTATTCACCGTTTCTTGAATATGATCAACTATCGTATTCAATGTATTTGTAATTTGTGGCTGGAATTCTTCATCAAAAGACATTAGACGATCATCCATTTCTTTAGAAATATATAATATCTCTAAAATCAAAGATTTAAAAGATGAACAGAAGTATTAGATTGATTTTGTTTATAATTATTCACCTATTGGATATATCGCGATTTATATTGCTGAGGAACTGATTGGATTTTTCCTTTGGAAGAAATCAAAAATTGCAAAAATTGTTCTATACTTATTATAATTTTGCTGCATTAGAATGACTTATATGATTTTTATTCTGTGCTATTGATGATTGGTGGATGAGAGAAAAACAGTCAAAGAAAATGATTATTACTCATTTAATTGGCATCATAAAACGTGGCAAATGACGTATATTTTTACCCAGTCTGTGGAGAAGAAAGAAAGAAACGTATTACATCTCATCAAATTTCTGCGCTCAAATATTAGTCATAACACAGATTTTTTATTTCTTTTTGAAGTAGGAAAGAATTTGAAGAATATAGTCACACGATATTTTTATATTTCATAGTCAATTCATATTTCTTATACAATACAATGAATTTTTCGGATACATATGAGAAACCACTGCGTTCCTATATACAAAATCGTGTTGGCGCTTTGGAAAATAAACTTGAAGAAGTAGTGAACAATCGTTCAAACATCGAAGCTGATCAACTTGAGCAACAAATCGATCGTGAAGCAGACAAATTCATTGACGATGTCACACGACGTCTTCATCAAATGCGAGATGAAATTAAAACTCGTCGGCCTACCGATCATCAAGCTCCTGATTATGAAATTCGTCTGAATCAATATCGACAATTTGTTGAAAGTTCCTCGACAGGTGTCAATCAAGTCACTGGATGGATTCATTCAATGTTCGAAAAAATAATTTCAATCGTTAAAAGTATTGTGCAGTGGATCAATGATAATGCACAAACAATTCTCAAAATCATTGAACAAATTCGAGATGCATTTAAATTATTTAGCACTCTGTTTTTTCGTTCTTAAGATAATAAATGTTATATAAACTTTTTTTTCATTCTAGATTAATATGTCTATTCAACAAGAAGACGCTTCAACGACGGTAAGTTATTTGTTCCGAATATAAAAATATTTTGAATTATTTCTATAGACTAGAACCATAGAAATCCTTCGAAATAAATATAGAAAACTAAAAACATTGGTACTCAAACTGAAACCTAACGATCGTCGTGACGATTTGTCTTCAATGAATTCAGAGCAGCTTGATAGTATTGTTGATGAAATGATTGCTGATCTTCAAAATAGTCTTTTATTTCAAACAAATGATTTACGTGAACGAATTAAACAAATTCGACCAGATCCTAATGATCCTCTCTACGAAAAGAAAGTGATAATTTACAAAGAATTACTTACATTAATAGTTCCTATCATGCAGAAATTACAGAATGTCATAGCTCAAACATTAGATGAATTACATAGTTTGATCAGACAATTATGGGATGATATTTCAAAAAACAATGGACAACAAGTTGAACGTTTACTTGAAGAACATCAACGTCGAACCGAAGAACATATGAATGGAGAATTTATAAAGAATATCAACGAACTTGAAAAGAAATTAGAAAAACTTCGCAGCATGACTAAGGATAATACAGAATTCTAATTGTTTATTGTATACCTTCAGTTGAACTTTTTTTTGGGTATAATAAGATAGTCATATCTACCTATCCAACTACTCATTTTTTATGTTCATCTTATGACAGAAATGTGTCTGCCAAGAAATTCCTTTTGCCACACCCATATCTAAATGTTTTGTATGCATATCTATGTGTAATGATATATAAATCATCTGCTCAAAACCTCAGTTTGCCACAAAAATTCATTAATGGAATAGTTGAAGTATATTTTCAAATCAAGTCTTAAGTTTGACGTATGTGACACTACACTTTCCCACACCGATACAATCAGACCCACACTCAGTTTCCAATACTTTACACCTATCACAAGTCCTAAGATATGTTTACAATTAAATTCTTTAAAAACCAATAAACAGTTGCAAGAAATTTTTTACGAAAGAGACAAATCATCTGTAAAATTACTTTAACAATCGTTAATGATTTTTTTGTAATTGTCAAAACTGTTCCATGATTGTTTATTTTGTATGCAGGGTTATCAGATCATCCGAATTGTCAGAATTTCTCTAAGTTTTTCCCACTAATTTTCGAACTCTTGAATTTTTTTTCCGATTCTTTGCGAAATTTCCTTTCTATAATAATTACCCATATAATTTTTGACAGATTTCATATGATGCTTTCTTTATTTACTTATAATCATTAGATAATTAGTTTTGTTCTTACAAATAGTAAGAGAAGATTTAATATGATAATTTTTTCTTCAAATTTCATGTCGTCTGACATTTGTTAGAATAGCATCAACTAATATAAATAATATCTCTAAAAATCTTAGGGAAAATTAACTTTTGATCACCAAATCAATTAGTGCCAAATGATTGACAGAAAGTTACTGTTTATAGTTGATAGAATTGTATTTGCGGAAAGTGAATACAGTCAAGAATGTCCTCGGTAAAATGTCCTTAACGAAATGTCCCCGACTTTTCGTCCTCGCAAAAATGTCCCTCAGATTAAATGGCCATCAGACAAAATGTCCCTTAGGAAATGGGTCTTATTCATATGGTCCTCTTCAAAAATGTCCTCTATTATCAAAATATCCTTTCAATAAAAAATGAACTATGCTTGGTAAACATGTTAATAATGGGATTTATTTAATAAGAACGTTTAAAATTTTGTTATATTAGTCATTTGCAACAAAAAAAGAAAGTCCATGTAATAATTCCTGCACCGTGATTTGGTTATTGTTAAATCGATCATATAATTCTTTTGTTCGTTGTTCAGTAATTCTGGACTTTAAACGTTTTGTACGAGGACCCATCCCAACATTTATTTGAGTAATTATATCATGGATCGTGTTTACTTCTTTTCGAATTGAATCGATAAAATGCCATATGTTGGGATGGGTTTTTTCTAAACGTCTCTTGAACCTGTTATTATATCCTAAAAATATGCGACAATGTTAGTTACAAATTACAACTGATATATTGTTTGTACATACCTTCACTAAAATTATTAGTTTTATCCGGAATATCAGCAACATTCCACATCGAAATTTGACGCATCCAATAATTCTTGAAATATTCGAATATAGGCAACAAATCATCACGTTCAGAATCATTTAAATCTTTTCCAAGATTATCAAATAACGATGGAATATATTGCTCAGGTACTAATGCTAATGCCATCATTTGACGAATAACACTACGTATCATGATATTATCTAAATAAGTTGATGATAAACCATGTGATTGAACATTTCTATAAACACTCTGACAAAAGTGAAAAAAACATCCCTTCTGGATGGTTTTTTCCGAGAACTATAAAAAATACATAAGTTTAATTCAGAAATTTTAGAAACTTCGAAGACAGTTATACCTCGAGACTGATTGCTTTAGCTAGACCAGGTTCAAAGTCAGTCATGATAAGAAGAGGATTCAGCTTTTTGTTGAGTCGTTTTGCCTCATCAAATAAAATAGTAAATAAATGTATATACGTTTTTGCTTTACGATCAGGTAGGAGTGCATATACCACCGGCACACCTATTGTAACGAAAAATATAAAATTAGTAAAAAAGGAATTTAAGGATTCGAATATTTAATTAATTGGAGATAACTTACATGTACCATGAACAATTGCCTGAATGATAAATACTTGATCAAAGTTTGGTGGTGAACTAGAAAATGTACCATCCATATGGAGTCGTTGACTATCAAATAATAAATTCAATTGAATATCCGATGACCAGATCAAAACTCTTCCTTCAGATCGTAGATTTCCTGATGAATCAATTTGGAATTTTGAATCATCACTATCATGTAATAATAATCGTGTATTATTATGATAATCTTTTGTATATGATTCTGGAATAAAAAAAGAAGATGATTGTGGAAGTGGAGGAGTCATTTTACGACGATTTTGTACCAAATTATGACCTGAAACAAACACAAACAAAATGTATATTAATATGACATAGAAAAATTATCACCATACCGAGATTAATAATATTAGGTAAAACAGCTAGAGCTTCACCTGTCAGTAAAGCCTGGCGTACTTCTTGTTCAGCGATCTGTTGTGCTGGTAAGATTTCTTCTTCAGCTCTTTTTCGCATTGCTTCTCTCAAATTTCGTACTTCAGCTTCAGCTGGATTTGGTAAATGTGAATGACGAGTTATTTTTCCTGAATAACGTAAAAATTCATTCTGAATGGTCGTATGCAAGAGTACACGACAATTTCTTTTTGCACAACGCCAAAATTTAATACTTTTATCTTTGTTGAAATTTTTAAATTGATAATTAAAACCATCAATAACCAACATTACTTTTCGTTTATTGGATTTTGTTTCAGTAATTGAAGGTTTTACTGAATTAGATGATGTTGATGAAGATTCATTCGATGTTGAAGTGGATGAGGAGGAAGACGATGTTTCATCCATTATCATAATGTCTTCAGATGCCATTTGAAAATTTTGTTTGATTATTTATAAAATTTATTATAAACACCACCGATGCTAGTTCAATACGTTCTTTATTTGAACTTAATTCACTTACACAGAAACCAATCCTTTATTTACGAATGAAATATCGAATAAAATATGTTTGGACTATAGTGTCATCTGTATTCAGGTGACATTATATTCACTTCCAAGAACAGCTGAGAATAAAGGACATTTTTTATATGAGGGACAATTTCACAAGGACATTTCATCTAGAGGACATTTCATCCGAAAGACATTTTCCAAAGGACAAAATACCGGGGACCATTTTGTCACAAGGACGAAAAGTCGGGGACATTTCGTCCAGGACATTTTACCGAGGACATTCTTGACTGTTACCGCGGAAAGTGAAGTACTATATAAAATAAAAAGTTACCTAATTGATAACACATGAATATCTAGTGTTTATCGTACCCAATCAATCGAGCTTAGAGTATTTATAATCAATAATCTTTCATAACAATATGCGATATAAGAAAATGTCAACTGACGAATAGACACAGCTCAGTCATTTGACAAAGCAAACCATTTGGCAAAAATTACGATTTAATGCTTTTCAACATCGACGATAAGATTTCGATTAATCGTGCAAAGTATTCTTTTACATGCAGTGAATGTAGAAAATATCGATTATATTCTTTTGAAAGTAAAGTTGTTGTACCTGAAACAATATGCATTGTGTTACAATTATGTCCAGATATTTACATGACAATGAAGAGAGCGAACAAATTTCAACATTTAAGTTATCACTACGTATTTAATCAATATGAATGTGGATTATTACGATCTCAAAGGATGCCGCCGCTTAAGAAAATTTTTGATATTTGAAGTTGTTCAATATGGGTTTTGTAGAGAATTAAATGGGCTATCTTTCTGTGTATTTATTTTTTCTTAAGCCTTTTTAGTAACTGAAAAAAATTTAAAAC